CAAGTTCCAAATGCACAAAAACTTGTCAATCCTCTGATGTGTCAATCTTACTAATGTCTCATTTGACCAAGTTAGCCAAACCCAGAGTCATTAAGGAAAGGGACCACGGAATGTCACAAATACTGACAGTCAAGATTCAATGGAGGCCATTGATGTTAAGAGTTGACCACACTACCAAGACATTGATATGCAAATTTTCCCCACATATTATATTCATGATCAGTTCTTGCTGTTGGCACTATTAATCCTTACTTCACAATCTTTCTGAATTATTTGTGTTTCAGCTTTAGAGCCCCTTCTCAACGTCTGGTGCAACTCTTACGATTTGAACCCAGAAAAAGAAAACTATGAGGATCTCATAATGCCTAGGGGCAGCTTATTACACAAATTGGAACAAATCTACTGCTTTAATTCCTAACAAGGAAGAAAGAAGACAGGAAAAAGGGATCATACGAAGATATAAAATGATACCTCCTATCTCATTTAGCATAAAGGCATCTGAAAAAATCCTAGAGGATCTACTTAGTACAGAATCCATTTCAGTTCATGTGTCTACCACATCTTAATTAAATAAAACTGCAGTACAGAAAGTCCAGGAGGGCCATTTGAGTAGTGAGAATAAGCAGCTACATATTAGTCAGTGGGAAGGTCCTTTCTTTGCTGCCACTGCTGTATTCTCACCCACTTTTGAATAACATTGAGTCTCCAATGGGTAACAAATGCAGGAATGAATAAGCCACAGTTCTTGTCTCTGAAGAGCTTATGGTCAAATGCAGGAAACAAATAATCACATTACTTACTAGCACACAAATTTAAAAAGACATGTTATAAATAGCAGTGGGCAATATCCCTTTTTTCCCCCCACCAAACTAGCTCTAGCTAACCTGAGAGAGTGGGACTAAAAAGAAGGAGATGGGGACAGAGAATATGCAGTGCACATGTACAGTGTCCCCAGTTGAGGACAACTGGGGAACAGAAGGAGAATGAAACTACCTACTGGTAAAGATAAGGATAGCAGGTGACTGAGCACTCGGTTATGCTTTGTCTGCTTGACTTGTCTAGACTGCTTATGCCTAAGAAGCAGACTAGATAAAATGTTAAGTTCTAAACTATGTTCTTTAATATCCCAATTCCTTTCCTGTTCTCATACAGATGGTATTTTCTAAAGTATGGAGGATCCTTCCCTGGAAAAGTGTATTCCATACTCAGATGAAAGTTCAGGGCGATGTCTCAGTCGAAAGGAAGAAATCTAAGAAACAAACCGACTCTGATGCCATATCATTTGCATGCCATCATGTCTCAGCTAATACTTGGTGTGATCTCCAGCTCTGCAGCCAATACGAAAGAGTTTCACAAATCAAACATTAGCAGGTAAACTCATAGAACAACCGGCCTGATCTTATTTCATAGGCATTGTAAGAAAGCCAAATTCCTCTGCAGGTAAATGGTTTTTCAGGCTTTTCTGCCCTCCCACTATTGGCACAGCCCTGCCTGATGGGTCCCTGCAGTTGTTACATTGCTGCAAGTTGTCTCCTTTGCTTCTGTGGGCCATGGGAGGAGTATTGGGATAGCCACCAAGAGAAGCAGCAGCAGAAGAGGCAGGAGAGAAAGACCCGGAGAAAAAAGCCAGAGAAGCCCAGAGTGAAACTTGCTGGGGACTTGGAGACTACGGGACTCCTGGTCCCCAGCATGCCGCCTGCTGTGTACCTGTTTGCCATACTACATGTAAAACTCAATAAAAGCCTGAGAAAGCCACGGAGGGCTCCAAGCCTCTCCTTTACCCATCTGCTGGATCATAGACATCCTGCTCAGTGGCCCTACCTGCCACTACAATTCTTATAATATAAAACAAAATTGGCAGGAGAAAAATTAAATAAAGACAGTCTTTTTTGACTGACATTCTAGACTCAAACAAATGTTAGTAATCTAGATGAGTAGATTAATAAAATAATCTAGAAGGAGAAGACAGGATAATATAGGATCCAGAAGCATATACTTGCTTTTCTATAAAAGTTAGTACTTACCAGTGACTGCTTTGTGAACTCTTGTGGACATTCAGTAGTTGTTTTCTGAGGGGAAAAATATGCTGACGTGATGCTAAAGAAGTATCACAGAGATGGGCATTGAGAGGCCCTGTGCCTGGATTTGCTTCATGGTAGAGTACTTGTAAGGACCTTTCGACCTTTCCTCTTCAAACTTTAGGACACCAAGCCATTCCCTCCATAATATGTGTGTGGTATAACACATGACATTCCCAAATCAGTAATTCCATCTACAGGCTAAATGTGATACAGATGCCAGTAGGTTTAAAGCATGTGAATAATACATTCAAGAGGTGGCTGTAATTAGAACTTGAAACAGGGAATAAAAAGAAAAGGAGCCCGCCTGCTAGTTTACTGTAACTTTTTTTTTTTTTTTACAATAATCAACATTTTCTTTTCTTTTTTTCTTTTTTTTTAAATAATAAATTTTATTTTTATATTCCCCATACATTTGCAACCCACCCATTCTGACCCCAATCCCTCCCCTCCCACCCCCACTCCCCAAAAACTGTCTCTGGTTCATAGTTTTTTTGTTGATTTTGATTTTCACTTTCTTATAGTTATTCATTTTCCCGAGTGCCCTCTTGTGGTCTCCTTTCAACCATGACTTTATGGATAACCAACATTCAAAATCTATTTCTCCTTTAAGAGATTGTAAAAGATATTCCCATAAACTCTTAGAGTAGTCTTACAATCTGAAGAATGTATGAAAAAATGCTTTTTCTATTTACATTAAAGACATAATTACTATTAACGCAAAGTGATTGCAACCATGGGAAAATGCCAGGCAATTTTCCTTATAATAGGAACAGTACATCACCCGCCTTTCCGAAGCCCAGTTAAAAGCATGCTCTAAGAGGCTTTTCTTTGACTGAGTCATTCCTTTCTAGAGAGAGGTCTGTCCATTCGGCCTTGATACCGTTTCTATTCCAAGGATTTGTCTGTATCATCTAATGTGCACAATTTGTTGGCATGTCATTTCTCAGAGTAATTTCTTAAAATTGTTTTAAATTTCAGAATGATCCATGGTAATCTTTCATTTCTGACTTTAGTCTTTTGGATTGCACTGATGTCTCTATTTATCAAGACTCTAATTTATGCACGCCATTGTAATTTTCATAATTTTCTTATGCTCTGGAATTTTAAAAACATATTTTGAGACTACAATCACCTCACATTTGAGGATTGCCCCATAAATCAAACTCTTTGTCACTATGTGGTCACTTGTTTATCTGCAATTTTTTTTATTCTTCTGAATATCCACTTTTTTTGATTGTAATCTAACTACTTCAACTTTCATAACTAGCATTTCATTAGTATTTCGATTTCCCTTCACTTTTAAAATGAAAAGTGGGGTCTCCCCAGTGGCGCAGTGGGTTGAGCCCCGCACTGTGGAGCTGTCCCTGGCCCCGGCCACCGGCAAGGGTCCCACATGACGGGGCAGAAGTCTCCTGTCTCGCCCGCTGCTCCCCTCAGCAGTGTATTACAGCCAGTCTGCCTGTTCTGCTCCCCGCTCTGTCTCTGGTGAATCCTCTCACCCTCCCGCGCATCTGGCCTGTACCCCAGTTCTTGAATAACAATAAACAAATCTAAAAAAATAAATAAATGAAATGAAAAGCCCCAGCAGGTCTTCACTCTGGGCTTCTCTGGCTTCCTTCTCCCTTTCTGTCCCAGCCTCTGCTTCTCTCCTCGGATATATCAACACCCCCGCCAGGCCACAGGCGGGAACCCCAGGACTGATAACAGTGTAGCAAATGCAGGCCCCTCAGGCAGGGAATACTAAGGGCAGGAACGCAGACCCGCCTGGAAACCACTTCCCCCCACTAGGCCAGCTGGAAAGACCCAGCTCTCCAGCAAAGTACCCCCTGGCATCCCCCCGCTGCATCCCGGCATGCACAGTGGAGGTCAAAGGTCGCAAGAGCAGTGACCTTTGGCACAGCCTCCCTGTGGATTCCTCCTGGAAGCTGCGGGGGGAGGGGACTGGGCGAAACATCCAGTCACTGCTTTCTCGGTCTCCTGTTGAACAACTGGTCGGTCCTTCCGGAAATGGGGGTCCATTCCTCCAAGGTTGCACCCCAAGGGGGGTTCGAGCAAGGGGATGCTTCAGGGGCTCAGAGGCCAGAGCAGGAGGACTGGCCCGAGCTGTGGTCTGAGAGCAGAGCAGATCCTCAGGGGGTGACTGGGCCCCAGCAGCTCCCCACCTCCACGGGCACCCAGAGCAGGTCCTGGTATCCAGTGAGGGGCAGGAGCCCGACCAGAGCCAGGCTTCGGGGACTTCCTCAGACCCACCCCGACAGCCGTCTGAGAGAGGGGATTCACCGGTCCCGGAAGCCCAGGAGCAGCAGCCACCCCCTGGGAGGCCCCGCTGCCACACCAAGCGCCTGGAGCAGCCCCTCTCCCGAGGCTTCCAGAGGATGGGGCTGGCTGTGGGCTCGCACCCCTGGCTCTTCCTGCTGGCGCCCCTGGTACTGACGGCTGTCCTGGGCACCGGTTGACGTACCTTCCCAGGGAGACTGAAGAGAGCCTGGAGGAGCAGTACACCTCTTTGGGCAGCCCCGGCAAAACTGAGCTGAGAATTGTGCAGGCACATTTCTCCAATAACAAGTTCCACCTCTTCTCCCCGTTGTGGTCCAGTGCGGAGGTCAACTTTGCCTCCATCCTGGTGATGTCCAACACTGCCAATCTGCTGGATCAAGTCATCTTCTCAGAAATGAGTCAACTGGACGAGGCAGTGCAGACGCTGACTGTGCCTTGGGAAGATGGAACCCAGGTCCTCTACCCTCAGGTGTGTGCCAGGTACCAGAGCACCTGCATGCCCTCCAACCCACTCCTGTTCATCTGGCAGAAGAATAACATCATGGACCTGAAAAGCACCACTTTCCCTATTTACAACATCTCTGCTGCGCCCCTCTACTTGGCCAACCTCTTGGGAGGAACAGTCCTAGGTCCCGGCGCAGGGACAAGCCACTTACTCCTGTAAGCCAAGACCATGTGGCTGCAGTACTACCTGAAGACCGCAGACCCCGAGGAAAGCCCGTGCAGCCAGAAGTGGCTGCTCGAGTTCCTGGACCAAATTCACGCCATTGAAAATTGCCTGGCCTTGCAGAACATCCAGGTGCCTGGGGCTGGGTTTAGAGGGAGGAGAAGGTGGGAGGGATATGACCTGTCCAGTGATGTGTCCACGCCTGGCTACTTGGTGGAGGCCTTGACTTGGAACCGGCTCTGCTCCACTCTCTTTGAAGTTTAAGCCAACTTTCTTCAAGGGACCCCAAGGGAAGTAGCCAGCATAGATATTGGGTTGCATTCTAGTGGGAAACACTCATTCTACACCCCAGGGTTGGGAGTGTTCAGGGCAGACATTGATCTTCAGGGTTCCTTTCGGTTTTCTAGCCAGAATGCTCTCACTTCACGTCTGCTGTTTCTGGAGCCCCAAAAACTTGCTTGGTGGCACTGGAAGAAAAAAACAAACCTTTAAGCTGATGTTCCCTAGTGTTTTAGAAAAACACAAATATCTCAGATTTCTCAAGTATTTTCTAGCATCCTGCCAGGCACCTCAGATGATGAGCAAACCTGCTAACACTTTTGGCCAGGCCTGGTGAGAGACACCTGGTGGGAAAAGGCTTTGAATACCAGGCCTTGCTGAAATTATACTTTGTACTTAAATAGCAAAAGATAGAAACCTACTCGTCATTTAGAAAAAGTCAAAATTTTGACAGTTATTAATGATTACACAGTATTATGAGAATTTGTATACTCAGGTATGTTAAACATTGGCTTATTTTTTTTAAAGATATATTCATTTTTTATACAAGCACCAGGTATAGTCAGATGCCGGGAGGGTCAGGGAATTCACCAGAGCAAGAGCAGGGAACAGAAGAGGCAGAATGACAAAATACACTGCTGAGGGGAGCAGCGGGTGTGGCAGGAGAGGTCTGTTGCGTCAGGTGGGACCCTCACTGGTGGCCTGGGATCTAACCAGCATGGCAGAGGCTGCCGACAGCTTCACAGCCCACCATGCAACCACTGTGCCACCAAGGGAGGCCCAAACATTGGATTTTTGAAAGAAATCTTAGAAAGCATGGCATGGATTGGTGGGGAAATTTTTTATTACCTTTATTCTAAAATCATAATTCACATATTTTAATCTTTTACCAAACTATAACATGTTTCAATCAATAAACTATAATATTTTGATACATCTTGTCACTCATACACAAATATTGATGTTAAAAATTATTTAACTGCGTGTATTTTTACGACAGGTGGTCTACTTTACATCACTTTCTAGGAAAATTGAATTTGAGGCGAGTGCTAGGACAGTGGTCCCTTTCTTTTACACGGCATACCTTCTGATCATATTATCTGCAATCATATCATGCTACAGGTAAAAATCTCTTATTAGTTTTTAAACTTAAAAATATTTGTTGTAAGATATTTAACGTAACACATGCCATCCCCACGGCTGCGTACTGTCGTGACTGTTTCCAATATCTTTTGTAAACCAAAGGAGGAACTCTGTGAGCAGTGAGCAGTGTCTCCTGCTGCCCTTCTCTCCTCCAGTCCTGATTAACCTTGACTCTGTTCTTTCTACGAATTTGTCTTTCCTAGGTTTTCATGTCAACAAAATCATACATTTTTTTGTACTGACTTATTTCACTTATCATACTGCTTCCAGGGTTTGTCCTTGTGCACGTGTGACAACTTCATTCCACTCTAATGGCTCTGTGCTCCATTGTATGTGTGCTCCACAATTCGGTTGCCCGCAGTCTTTTGTAGGCATGGAGTATTTACTTCTCTTGACAATCCTAACACTGCAAGGAACATGGTGCGCTCATATTAAGAGAGTCATTTACAAGTGGAATTGGTGGGTTGCATGAGAATTCCATAGTCAGCTATTTGAAGAACAATCACATTGTTTTCCAGAGTCTACACCATTTCCGATGCCACCAGCAGTAGATAGGGGCTCCAGTTTTTCCACAGTCTTCCTATAAACCAACACTCATTCTTTTCCCTTTTATCAATTTTACCTGTGTTAGTTGGTGTCAAGTGGTATCTCATTGTGGTGATGATTCGCATTTCTGTAAATATCTGATCATGTTGATTGTCTTTTCAATTGTTTATAGGCCTCGTATATCCTCTTTGGAGAAATGTCTATCCAAGTCCTTTGCCCTTCTTATAATTGGGTTGTTTGACCTTTTGTTGTTGACTCACGTTTTTCATTAGCACTTTGCATATTTCAGTTATTAAGCCCCTTACCAGCTATATGACTTGCTGATATTTTCTCCTTCTATTTAGACTGTCTCTTCACTTTCTTGACAATGGCCTGTAACGATTAACATTTTTTTTTTTTATTTTTTGATGAAATCCAACATATCTAATTTTTTTTTGTACTTGTATTTTTGGTATTATATCTAAGTGTCCATTCACAAGTCCAAGGTCATGCACATTGACACTGTGTTTCCAAGTTTTATGGTTTTAACTGTTTTATTTAGATTATTTATCAATGTCTATTTCAGTTCTGTTTATGGTATTTAGTAAGGTCCCAGCATCATCCTTGTGTATGTGAAGATACAGATTTCCAAAACCATTTATTGAAGAGACCTTTCCAGTTTGTTAGACTTACCACACTTGTCAATCAACTCACTATATTTATGAATTATTTCTGGACTCCCTATTCTATTCTGTCAGTCTGTATGTTTATTTGCATGCTAGTACCACATTGTTTTCATTACAGTACCACTTTCTAAGTTTTGAAATCTGGAAATCTCAGTCCTGCAACTTTTTCTTCTTTTTGGAGATTGTTTTGGATATCCTGGGCTTCTTGCAATTTCAAGTGAATTTGAGGGTTGGCTCTTCCATTTCTGAAAAAGAAAAAAGGAAATTGCAATTTCAATAAATATTGAGTTGGATCAGTAGATTGCTAGGTGATTGACATTTTAACAATATTAATCCTTCACATCAACTAAGGATGTTTTTTCTATTAAATTAGTTTTTTTTTAGTTTCTTTCACCAGTGTTTTCTAATTTTCAGTGTATACATCTTTTACCTCTTGGTCAAATGTAATCTTAAGAAATTTCTTCTTATAGATGCTATTTCAATAGAATTGCTTTCTTAGTTTCCTTTTGCAATTTCTTTATGCACATAAATAGAAACACAGCTGATTTTTGTAAGTTGTTCTTGTATCTTGTAGCTTTGTTGAATTTTTTGTAACTAGAAGTTTTCTTGTGGATGTATTGGAATTTTCATATCTGTGATTATGTACTCTGTGAAACAGGATACTTTTACTTTACTTCCTTTCCAGCTTGGATTCTTTTTATTCATTCCTTGACTAATGGCTCTGGCGAGCAATTCCAGCACAATGCTAAATCTGGTCAGCATCTCTAACTTTCAATTGTTTGTGTTGTGTGTGTGTTGGTTGGTTGGTTTTTTAGCTTTTCACCTCCAGAATTTGTTTTGTTCCTCTTAAGTTTTTCTATGTATATTATTATTTCATTCATATATTGTGTTCCCTGTCAGTGTTCTCCTTTCATATAAGGACTTGAGCAGTATTTCTCAATTAGGTTGTAGTACCAGTAAAAGCTTGTTTTTTATTGAAAATGACCACCACAATAAACCCGAGAATATGTTTCCTATGAAATCATGTAAATAACTTTGATTTTTCTTTTTGTATTTTGATTATTAATTTGAAGTAATTTAATAATTTGTTAATATTACAGTACCTCTTTTGTCTTTATTATTTTTTTTTTTTTTAATAGAGGCATGTTTTACTTATTTATTTATTTATTTGTTTGTTTTGTTTATACATGCACTGGGTACAGTCAGAAGTGCGGGAGGGTGAGAGAATTCACCAGAGCCAGAGCGGGGAGCAGAGCAGGCAGAAGGACTGAAGTACACTGCTGAGGGGAGCAGCGGGCGGCAGGAGAGGTCTGCGCGCCATGTGGGACCCTCCTCCGGTGGCCGGGGAGCAGCCGGGGATTGAACCAGGGCCGCAGAGGCCGCGGGCAGCTTCGCAACCCAGCGCTCAACCGCTGCACCACCGGGGAGGCCCCTCTTTTGTCTTTAATGTTACTCTTTTTACTTCCTGTTTAATCCCTTTTTAGAAAATTATGGGTTAGAAGATTTTACATAAAAACAATAGGTTTTGATATTCTTTCTATTTGGCTATTTACTATTTGCCTGAAAATAAATCTTTTATTTTTATAGGCCTGTAAAGAAACATCTAATGAGAAGAAGGTATAGTAAAGAATAAATAATGACAAAAATTACTCTGCATTAAAAATGCATTTTAAAAGCTATAAGGAAAATATAAAGTCTTACTTCATTGTAAAAACATTTACTTTAAGGGCCTACCCTGGTCGCAGCGGTTGTGCGCTGGGCTCCAAAGCTGCCCGCAGCCTCTGAAGCGCTGGCTCCATCCCGGGCTGCCAGTGAGAGTCCCACATGGCACACAGACCTCTCCTGCTGTGCCCACTGTTCCCCTCAGCAGTATATTTCCTCCCCTGGCTGTTCTGTTCCCTGCTCTGGCTCTGATGAATTCTCTCACCCTCCCGCACTTCTGACTGTACCCAGTGCTTGTATAAATAAATAAATAAATCTTTTAAAAATGTTTACTTTAAAAATAATTTATAAATAATAATTATCTATAAAGTCATCCTTTTCATAAAAGTCAGTCCCTTTAAGGAGTACCTGTGTTTTTTGCTATTGTAAAGGTGAATATTTATCACCTCTGTACACTTAGCATATTTATCGATAGTTACCGGACATTCTGAAATATTTTTATTTCTATGTCAAGCAGGAAATCAAGCCTATGGATGATTCTGATGACATAACTCAGATATCTGAAATAGCCTCAACGGGTTGTGACTCGCTTTACTCTGAACATGAGAATTGTAGGCTGTTAATGGAACTTTGCATTAATTGTAAAGGAAGGAGCATTGTTTAATTATAAAGTCTTAATACATATACTATAGCGTCACATGCACACTTTGTCTAGTACTGCACTGTAGAGGATAGATCTGTTCTCATGTTATTCATCTCAGAAATGTTGTATATTGAGATGAACTGAGAGCTATTGTTTACTTCCAGCCAAAGAGCTATGAGAATCCCCACTGTACTTTTTGTTGACTCTGCTCTCTCCTAGGCCTTTCATCGAAGTCAGATTCCCATTATTTCCCTCCTAGAATACTGAAATATCCTCATATCTGTTTTCCCTGGCATTATACCTCTGGAAACCTTGTTCTGTACTGCAACTATAATTGTTATATATATATATATATATATATATATATATATATATATATAATATTCAGATCGCATAATGTTACCCATTCCTTAAAATCCAGCTGGTATCTCTCAATGCTCTAAGGTTAAAGGCTACCATCCACTAGGTGCATAGGTGCATTTTGTGTTAATCCATGTCTTTTTCTCATCTGTGTCTCAGTGACTGAGTCGTCTTTTCTACAATAAGACTTTTTGTTTTCAACAGCTTTAGTTAGGTAAACGACACCTATAGAAAATGTGTAATTTAATAGTTTTGACATAGGTATACAAAGATGAAACCATCCTCACAATCAAGATAGTTGACTCATCTATCATCCCTCAAAGTCTCCTCAAGCCCTTTTATAGTCCCTTCTTAAGAAACTACCAAATTATTTTCTAAAGGGCTTGTACCATTTTCCATTCCCACCCAAAGCTTATGAGAGTTCTAGTTCCTCCATATCTTCAACAATACTCAGTGTTGGCAGGTTTGTTTGGTTTATATTTTTAAGACTTATTTATTTATACAAGAACTGGGGTACAGTCAGAGGCACAGGAGGGTGAGAGAATACACCAGAGACAGCAGGGAGCAGAACAGGCAGACAGACTGAAGACATTGCAGAGGGGAGCAGTGGACGAGGCAGGCGAGGTCTGTCATGCCATGTGGGAATCTTCCTGGCTGGCCAGTAATTGAACCCATGCTGCAGAGGCTTCGGACAGCTTCACAGTGTGGTGCTCAACCTGCTGCGCCACCTTGGAGGCCTTGTTGTCAATTTTTTAATGTTACCATTCTGATAGGTGTCCAAATATTTATTTTATTATGGTTTTAGTATGCATTTCCCAAATAACTAATACTATTGATCATGTTTCTGTGTGCTTATTTACCATCTGCATATCTTCTTTAACTGTGTCTAAATCTTTAATCATTTAAAAATTATGTTGTGTGTTTTATTAGTTGAGTTTTGAGAGTTCCTTGCATTTTCAAAATATAGTTTCTTGATCAGCTCTATTTTTACAAGAATTTTCTTCCAGTCTGTGACTTGCCTTTCATTTTCTTAACACTGTCTTTTTTATAATCTAAACTGTATTTAATAATATAACATTTTTAGTAAGTCAGCAACAAACAGA